AAAAAAAAAAAAAAGTGCTGTTTACACGAACTGACAAGCGCTCTTCCTTAAGATCATTAAGTGCTGATTACTTATATAGTTGATCTCAACTTTAGTGTTTCAAGTACTAGTACACAGTCTAGTTTTTAAATCATATTCCATAATCATATGTAAAATAAATATCGTAAGTAATAATAGAATATTAATAAAATAGCATATTTGTTTCTTAAATACTCAATGTTCTGTGGAGTTTATGGGTGCTTCAAATGATAGTGGTAAAGCTTTTAGTCATAAGGGGAGTCTTAGTGTGGGTAGTATCACAGATTATACTTTGATGGTGTACATAACCCTGGGGAAAAAAATCAGACTTTATGGTTTCATCCTTTCTTCATCCTGTATAGAATCAAGAACACATGCTTATACTGCAAATGAATACGCATTTGGTTCATGGTGAAGTCTTGTACCTACAACAAGCCTGGAGGAGCAGATATCCAATAGCACTATACTTGATAATTTTAGGTTTAAAGGTGTATTTTCAATTAAAAATGCATTCAGTTTACTTCTTTGTAAATAATTGTGTGTATTTTAAAAAAAATGATGCAGTTGAAAGGAAAGTAACCAAAACTGCCATAGATTTTAAAAACAGAAAGAAAATTGGAGAGGAGATTTATACTAACAAGCTGGCCAAACAAGTTTTTGAAGTCTGAAAGCTCTATTACATATCATTTAGTCCACAATGAGATTGTGTAAACTAAAATCTGATTTACCTTTTTTCCCTCCTTTAGCTATTCACAGAGTCCACTTAACTTTTTTAATACACTTGCCTAACACAAGTATTTCAATTCAGTGATGGACAAATGGCATACTTAGTGCCATCTGTAAGCCTTTCACATTGTTTACTGGTGTGAAGTTATGCTTGCGAGCATATATTTATTGCTATGTATCTCCTGCTTTACAGCATATTGTATTTATCACAGCACAAAATATTCTCATGAATCTCAGATAAACATACTAGTTACTAACTGTGCCAATTAAGGAGATTCCACTGTATTACAATAGTAGTTTCCATTGTGAAGCTCACAGAAAGGCTGTCTTGAGGAATCTATAGATCCTCAGCAAGCTAATTCTTTGGAAAAAGTCAAGTCCACTCATACTTCCTCTAGCACAATTCAATTTCTCCAGCAGTTACAAATTCTAATATCTAAAACTATTCTTAAAACCAGTTCACACTCCTCCATTGCAGGTTTCAAAAACCAGATCTGGCTCAGGGCTCCCTCATGCTGAAACCATTTTTCTTGGTAAAGATTTTGGGGCCCAGCAAAGTATTGTTTAACAGGATCTGTGACCCATACAAAAGTCATTTGTTTTATATATTTTCTTGTGATTTATAGTTACAATCTTGTAGAACCTTAACTCTAAGAATGATATTTTCAACAGCATTTAGTAGTGACCTAACTCGGTCTCCACTGAAGTCAATAGTAAAATTTCCATTCACTTCACTGAGAGCAGAATGATTTTGAAAATTCCACCTATATTACTAAAGTTTTTCCTATGAAAGTAAAGTGAAATATTATTCTCAATTCCTTACCCGGGTGGTTGTCTTGCTTTGCATCTGTTTTTCCAGAAATAATAAATAAGTAATCCAGTTAAAACCAACAGAACTCCAGTAGCAACTAGGCCAGTCAGAAGTCCTGTAACATCAATTTTTTGTGTAGCTTCACCACCTGAACAGAAATCAGTAATTATTTCCAGTTGACTAACACTATAGCATTATTAACAATGCTTCGTCAGTGGTGGCCTTCTCTCTTTTTGAAGATTTGAGAGAGATGTTATAGTAAGATTAACAGTAGTAGTTCCTTTCTATTAGTCTTCTCACATGACAAGCCGTCACATCAATCCAGCACTTTAATGCCCACCCCAAGACATTAATGCCCACCCCAACCAAAAGCAAAAGTTAACAAATATTCCTCTCCTAGATCATTTATATATGCATGTTTTTGAGATTCTCCACCAATCCATCCCCACCAATTGTTATTTCACACACTTATTGCATCTTTCATCAGATTAAGTCCTTCAGAGCAGATCCTGACTTTCACTCTATCTGTATAGCACCTACCACAGTGAGGTCCTGATCCTAACTGGGGCCTCTATAAACTATTGCAGTACAAAATAAAAACAGAAGTAGGAAGCAGCAGAATTATAGTTGCAAAGTTTCTATATTGTCTAATACATACAAGGAAATGGATAGCAGAATGCATATTTCAATATGCAATAGTAAAGGGCCAAAGTCTTCCAACTCCCCGAACTTCATAAATATATTATATAATATCTAATATACATTTCAGTATATAAAAAGAAAATGTACAAAAATATAAAAAGACAGTAATCAAGGGTTATAACTGTGCCAGCTGAATACTTAGTTATGACCAGATGACAACATAAATTGCAACATATTGGGGAGGGGGGTTCTAGAGTGTGTGTGAGGGGAGCAATATTTGCAATGTAATGGAGAGAAATGAGATAAGCTCTGATCTTGACTTACCGAATTTTGTGCTGGGTCCCTTAATGGAATACTCTTTCCAAAAAGTCATCTATGAAAATAAAAATGTTTTTTTAAATAGTTCAAGCCTATATGTGATGTATAACTTAAATAAGAGATTGTGGACAGAATTCAGACATGGCATAAATGGGCACAACTCCCACTGAAGTCAAATGTTGCACCTGCTTACCCCAGGGCTGAAATTCCACTTGTATATTCAGGTATAACATCCTAAAAAACTGCCATACTAGAACATACCAATGGTCCACTTAAACCGATAGAAAGAAATGCCAGCTGTTTAAAAGAAAAGGAAAGAGACAAACCAAGAACACCTCTAAATTGCAATACTGTATCATGTAGAGAAATTTCTTCTTGATACCACTTAGTAATTAGCTTAGACTGACAATGGAGATTGGTGGTGCTTATAATTTATCCTAGTTAGTGTAAATTCCAATGCTACTAATGCAAGTGTCTGATCTTACAAAGTTACTTGCCTCAATAATATCCTTGAACAGTGAGTTCCATAGGTTAATAATACGATGCATATAAGAGAATATTTTATGACTAAAGACAGTAATGCACTGTATAAAATTTAATCCTATAGTTAAGACTGAAACTAAGCCACAACCCACATTGGAAAAGGTGTGAGGTTGGGGGCAGGGCAGGAGGAAGAAGCCACTGTGCAGCAGAAGCCTCCAGGGAAAATATGATGTAGTCATGTAAAATTCCTCCTGGGAGACTCCTAGGGAATGCAAACTCCAGTGGCAGCTCCATCCTCCTGGGAGAGGGTGCACTGCTTGCTCCGTCTGCAACTGAGTGCAGAGGATGGCAGGGGCCCTGGAGAGATTTGCACTACAGGCAGCACTAGTTGTTTGGAGGATTGCAAGTACTGCTCTCATCTGCGTCTTGCTCCTTCCTGTGGAGTGGGGGGGGAGGGGTGAAAGGCTTGCACCCCTTTTCCTGCTCCTGCCAAAGTTTTTTTTCACTATACAGTAGCATCTTCAAAGTTGCTCCTTATCCATGGAACACTCACACTTAACTGATCCACAAGGTCACCACTGCCCTCTTCTCAAGATTCCCCTTTGCTGTAACTTGTATATAAAACCAGCCAATTAATGAGTGAGGGGAGACAGAAATAGTTGGCACTTTATATATACATTTTTTAAAAGTATAAATTACACAAAATTATTTGTGTGATTTTATCCCCTTCCCAGGTCACTTTTTCCCCCCAAAAAGTTCCCAGTTCTGAAGACACTCATGTATGTGCCTAGCTTTACTTTTGTGTGTAGTCCTACTGAAGTCCCACTTATGTTTGTAAGTATTCGCAGAATCATAGCCTTTGCCTGCAAGCTTTTTGGGGCACGTACCGTGAATTCGTGTGTGTTCACTGCATTCCTAACACAATGGGCCCCATCTGATTGGGGCTTCTGGTTCTACTGTAATATAAATAATAATGGCAGAACTCCTATTTTAAATGATCTCTTCTGAAGGGCAACAGTAGTTTATAATAACCATCTACTGATGGCCACCCAGTATTTTAAACTAAATCAAAGCAATTACCGTTTTATCAGGGTCTTCAAAAATTTCTCTTGCCTCTTCATAATTGCACTGCTCCTCATAGCATTCTCTTTCTAGATTACCAGGGGTAAATACTTCAAAATCAAATCTGTTATACAGAAGATGTCGTCCAATGAACAAATTGGCTTCTTTTTCCGATGTAAACACTAACAAAAAATAAATTATTTTAAAACAGTTAAATTAGGGTGATAGTTCTGGTATTCTTACAAAAAACTCTGGAGCTCTTTAAAATCCCCAAAGAAAAACATCTCTGTTTCTTTCCCGTTTTACCGGATATAAAAGGAGACTTCAAGGCCTTTTCTTTGCTGCCAACACAACAGTTCTCTTTCTGCCTGTTCCACATTCAAATTTAAATATTTTCTGTCCCTTGTAAATAGTTTCAGATTTTCTCATAGCAACTTTTTAGAATTTGGTCCTCATGCCAGCTGTCTGAAATGCAAGTGACCACAGCTGTGGTATTGACCCTTCTGGAGTGTGGGAGTGCCTGGGAATCCTAAGGTTCCTTGTAATATTCAATTACTTTAAGATGGACTTCTAAGCAGACCCAGACTGAGCAAGATCCAGTATGCACATCTTGAAAAAGCCTAAGGGTTACCTCCTTTGATATGTTCCAGTAAGAATCCTAGGCATACATTCCTTTTCACACATTCTGGTATCTGAATTCTAATCTTTGTTTTAGAAATTGAGTTTCCATCAGCACAGTGGACAAATTCCATTAATTTCTTCTTAATATCACACTATTTAGGAACGGCATTTAAGGGTAGATTGAAGTTTTAAACAAAAAGGGCAATACATTATTTTTATACCTTTTAAATAAATGCTGCTCTATGGTCATTAGGTTCATGATGGGGTTCTTGCCTAATCAAAGATGATGTCAGCAGAGTTTTTAACAACTCATCTTTTCTTTATTTTTGCCATTTTTAGAAGCTGGTTAGGAGCCTCAGAAAATAAACTCACTCCCCTAGTTCTAATTCCAGAAGAGTTAGTGAAGTTATAGCAGACTTAAAGATACTGGAATGCATTTTCTCATCAGGTTTCTTCTGGGCTCAAGTTTTAGCCTGTCTTTGCTATAACTTGTAATAGAGAACTCATCTTTGAACAACAGAAATCTTCTGGCCTGCTTTTCTGTGCAACTGAAATATTTTAAATTAACTTCTAGTATAAGTAAGTAGACGGTTTTGCTAAGTGAAATGACTAGAGGGTTAATTAAAAAGAACTCTCCAGTGTGCAAGGGTGTTAATGAAAGCAGGAAGAGCATTCTTACAAACTAAGTCCACTTGCTCACAAAGAGAGAGAGACAAGATTCAGGATAAAGTTATTCAGTCACAAAGTAGATACGTACTTGTTAGACAATTCATTTGCATAGATCAGTGGTGGGCAACCTGTGGCCCACGGGCCACACGCGGTCCATTAGGGTAATCCGCTGGCAGGATTGTCAGTTTGTTTTCATTTGCACGGCCGCCCGCAGCTCCCAGAGGTCGCGGTTCGCCGTTCCCGGCCAATGGGAGCTGTGGGAAGTTGTGCGGGCCACAGGGGCATGCTGGCCACCACTTCCCACAGCTCCCATTGGCCGGGAACGGCGAACCGCGGCCACTGGGAGCTGCGGGTGGCCGTGCAAATGTAAACAAATTGTCTGGCAGCCCACCAGCAGATTACTCTGACAGGCTGCAGGTTGCCCACCACTGGTATAGATTATCCCATCACTCAGGAATTTTTCCCTTAATCGTTACTGTTGGGCATTGCAATGGTATCTCAAAGTATTTTGCTCAGTAACAATTCCAAAAGACTTACAGCATCATTCATATTAATTGCTGCTGCCTTTATGCTATGCCTGAACAATTTGGGGAATCACTTACCTTAAAATGAATTTTCTTGTCATTATTTTATCAAGTTAGAAGGAGTTACAGCATTTAAGATTATCACATTTTTACAGCATGGAGAAAGGGACTAGCCTTAAGAAGAATATGGGGGGCAAGGGGGGGGGGGGAGATCCCCAAAGTACATTTGGGCAGTGCTGAAATAGAGTTTTCCCTAGGAGTTCACCTTTGTGCAACCTGTATCAATATAAGTACTCTGAAACTGATTAATACTAATCAAACTGAAAAGAAAAGCTTTGCCTATTTTGTTCAGCAGTGTTTCATTCACTTATCAGATATAACTGAAAAAGAAATTGTGTCTCAGAATAGAAGTGTTTTAACTGAAATCAAAACCTGATCCTTCAACTTGTAGATTTTTCAACAACTTGATGGCTACATGCAAATCCAGGAGAATGGGGAAAATAGTGTCAAATCAGGTTCCATCCTGTTAACACTAGTTAGCAACCTAAGAAACTTGCACATATTTGCATTAACTTAAATGCCTTAAACATATGTGTAATGAACAAAGTTATGGTTGTTTTGTGGGAATTTCCTGACTTTTCTGTGTCTCACATCTGAAACAGAACATTAAATTAACAACTTGTAATTTTAATTTAAAATTGTGGCAGTTATGCATGCAGAGGACTTGCAGAATCAGAATCTACATAGAATCATAGAACTGGAAGGGCCCTCGAGAGGTCATCTAGTCCAGTCCCCTGTACTCGTGGCAGGACAAGTCTAACCTGCTCTTAAAAATCTCCAATGATGGAGATTCCACAACCTCCCTAGGCAATTTATTCCAGTGCTTAACCATCCTGACAGGAAGTTTTTCTTAAGGTCCAACCTAAACCTTCTATGCTGCAATTTAAAATCAATGCTTCTTGTCCTATCCTCAGAGATTAAAAAGAATTACTCTCCCTCCTCCTTTTATGTACTTGAAAACTGTTATGTCCCATTTTTTCAATCTTCCCTCATAGGTCATATTTTCTAGACCTTTACTCATTTTTGTTACTCTTCTCTGGACTCTCTCCAATTTGTTCACATCCTTCCTGAAATGTGGTGCCCAGAACTGGACACAATACTCCAGTCAGGGCCTAATCAGAGTAGAGTATAGAGGAAGAATTACTTCTTGTGTCTTGCTTACAACCCTCCTGCTAATGCATTCCAGAATGATGTATGCTTTTTTTGCAACAGCGTTACACTGTTGACTCATATTTAGCTTGTGGTCCACTATGACTCCCAGATCCCTTTCTCCTTCCTAGGCAGTCATTTCCCATTTTGTATGTGTGCAACTGATTGTTCCTTCCTAAATGGAGTACTTTGCATTTGTCCTTATTGAATTTCATCCTATTTACTTCAGACCATTTCTCCAGTTTGTCCAGATCATTTTGAATTATAATCCTATCCTCCAAAGCATTTGCAAACCCTTCCAGCTTGGTATCGTCCTCAAACTTTATAAATGTATTCTGTATGCCATTGATGAAGATATAGTATAGAACCGGACCCAGAACTGTGCTGTTCTCCCTCCTACCGTTCCTTAGAATCATGAATTCTATCATTTCATGATCACTTTCACCCAAGCTGCCTTCCACTTTCAAATTCTCAGCCAGTTCCTCCCTATTTGTCAAAATCAAATCTAGAACAGCCTCTCCTCAGTAGCTTTCTCCACCTTCTGAAATAAAAAATTGTCTCCAATACATTCCAAGAACTTATTGGATAATCGGTGCCCTGCTGTGTTATTTTCCCAACAGATGACTGGGTAGTTGAAGTCCCCCATCACCACCAAGTCCTGTGCTTTGGATGACTTTGTTTGCTGTTTAAAAAAAGCCTCATCCACCTCTTCTTCCTGGTTAGGTGGTCTGTAGTAGATCCCTACCATGACATGCCTTTAAATATAGTCCTGCCTGGCAGGATAGGGTGCACTGATCAGGAGTGCTGGGACAGACCTTAGTCTGTACACCCACATGCACTCTTGTTATTTGTAAATACTGGATTCTTCATATCATAATGGACTATACGCAAATACTTTGAAGAAATGAACCAAATGAGAGATCAGTTTAGTACTTCCATGTGTTGTATTCAATACTGGCTGCTAGGAACATAATTGCCAAACTGGACAGACCACTGATCCATCACTGTCTTGCATCCTCTCACTAGGCAGATGTGGGATAATCAGTTCCCATGAAGGTCTCATCCAACTCTTTAGAGTTAGAGATTATCTTAATCCTTGAAGCATGGGGTTTAGATCCCTCCCAAAATGTGCTAGTATCCACTATAACAACTCTAGATCTTCCTTGCTGTCCCTATAAAAATGTCCAACCCCTCTGAGTCTGGCTAAATTCTTGGTTTCAATGTCATCCTGTGGCAATGAGTTCCACAGTCTAATTACACAATGATTGGAAAAGTGTTTCCCTTAATCAAACAAACTTTCTGTTATGTAAGAAGACAATATGGTGATTCAAACAGTTTCCGATCAACTATTTTTTGAAATGAAAACTTTGATCTTTTCTGAATGCCAAGAATGGGGGAAAAAAAAAACCCTTCCAAATATGAACCAATGCAGTACAGTCTTAATAGAGACTGAACTATTGTTTCAGACTCATTACTAAGAAAATCTGACAACAACGGTAACTGTCACTGACAGGCGTCCAGAGGCCTAAGAGGAGCCTGTATTGTCCTGTTTATCTCACTCGTGTTTTTTCTGAAACCCCGCTGACAATCTGTTTGACTGATGATCATTTTAGCAAAAACATCCAACTACACCTCTACCTCGATAGAACACTGTCCTCGGGAGCCAAAAAATCTTACCGCGTTATAGGTGAAGCTGCGTTATATCGAACTTGCTTTGATCCACCGGAGTGTGCAGCCCCGCCCCTCCCCCTCCGGAGCACTGCTTTACCGTGTTATATCCGAATTCATGTTATATCGGGTCACGTTATATCGGGGTAGAGATGTATTCTAAAATTGTGGGAGAAGCAGGAATATGATTTTTAAACCAATCTAAATCCTGTTGCTTCTAATGTAAGTTAACGATCACACAACTGTGTTACACAATTTTAGTTTTTAAACAAAAGATTGTTTCCACAATAGAACACCGTAAGATGCAGTTTCACTCCAGAAAGTATAGCTTCATTTTAGAAGAATGTTACCTTCTTTCCCTGTATGCTTTGAATCCTTTAATCTTCTTGTGCAATGAGGAAATGCAAACATTATTGGCAGCTGACACAGCAGTACCAAAACCACAGACATAGTCTAGTATCTGTCAAAATAAAGTATTAGTTAAAAACTCCCAGATGTTATTTGTGTATCTTAAATGAATCCTCTGTATGCAGTTGTCAGACACAAGTCCCCACAAGCAACTTGGATTATTTTTTCCCTATAGGCAGTAAACCTACCCAAACCGGTCCCACATATATTTAATAACAATTGCATAATGTCCTCCATATTGGTAGTCATCACCATTTGAATTAACAAAACCCAGTATTCTACCACTTGAGCTAGAGAAGTAACTCCATTAGCTGATAGAAGTACTTTAAGCCCTTACTAAAGGTTGATACTACATATTTTGTGATTGTGGCAATCACACTTGGAAGATTTTAATAATGATGAGCATGAAGCCAAACAAACTAAAGTGCAAGTGTGACTGATTGTATTGAACTATAGATAAAAGAATCACTTTGTCCACTGCTGAAGTACAGCCACCACTAGGGCAGCAGCTATTTAGCAGAACACAGCAAGCTACTTGACAGTTTACGGCAGAGTTTGTAATAAATTGTAACTTCAGTAGGATAGGGTAAGTGATTCTAGCATATAAAACAGTTTTGATTCTCTGTTTAAACCCTTTCAAGATGCACCTACAAAACACTTTTCTAATTACATGACAGTCCAAGATGTCAGGATGACTTTAAGATATCTAATAATCAAAATTAATTAAAAAATAATTTTCCTTCCAGTGGAGCCTGCTGGAAAGCATTGTTTCCTTTTTTAAGGCACGAATAGGGAGCCAGTTGCCTTCTCCATTGCCTAATCCTATTCTAGTTTGTTGAGAGCAGGCAAAGTCCTACATAAGGTAGGTCTGCAGAATTTGAGCAACAACCATTTGTCCCTTCGAAACAAGCATCTGAAGAAGTGGGTTTTTTACCCATGAAAGCTTATGCCCAAATAAATCTGTTAGTCTTTAAGGTGCCACTGGACTCCTTGTTCTTTTTATGGATTCAGACTAACACAGCTACCCCCGGATACTTGAGCTTCCTCTTTCTTCTCCATCTGTGATTGCATCTGAATCAGGCTCTGGTGCAGAGATCTTGCCTGAAGCTCCCTTCCCCGCCAGGCCTTGTCGTCATTCATTCATTTTTTTATTGTGTTAGAACATGACTAACTATGAGTGTGAAATTAGTTAACACATTCTTGACCATAACCTAGCCGAGAAAAGGCGTTCAGCACGGTGTCATCGGATTCTACTCACCACAGCCACGGGGAGTCGGGGTTATCTGCAAATAGGAACAGTCACTTTATCCCAGCAGCTTTGGGACCCGAGGGTTGGCCCAGGATGGGTGGGATCCGGGGTGGCCCTTGGTTTGATTTCGGGAATGATTGTTTTTTGTGTCTCGTCCTGAAGGGCCCGACAGGTCAGGGGAAGGTTTAAATAACAAGCCGTGACCCTCCCAGCAGGGGAAAATGTAGCTGGGGGGAGTCCCTCGCCCGGGCCGCTCCCCCGTCTCTCTCCCTCCTCCGCAGCCCGAAGGCAGGCACCCACCTACCTGCTCCGTTCGAGCTGCAGCGCCCAGACTCCGGGCTGAGGGGTACGGGACAAACACCACCCGCGCTCCCTCCCTCCAACGCGGCGGCTCCAGCTTCCTCTTCTCCGCGGCGCTTCCTGGAGAGGGGGCGGGCAGGATCACATGGCCCAGCCGCTGTTTCATCTGGAGCCGCCCCAGGTCTGCCCGAAGCACCCAGCCCCCGCAAGCTGAGCCCCGCTCTAGGTCCCTGCCCCCCACCCGGCACAAGGAGACGAGCCTCAGCATAGGCCCTGGCTTCCCCCTTATGAGCTGAGCCCTCGACACCCGGCATACCAGCTTAGCTTCCGTATGTGCGCCTGGCGGAGCCCGCTCAGCCCCATCATGACCCCCTATAAGCAGGACCCATCCAAGCCTATCGTCCGACTTCTGTCCCTTCTTCCTAGAAGGAGGGGTTGTCTCCTCATTCCCCTCCCAGCAACTCCGAGACAGCACTTCGGATTTGTGTTTTAACCTTTTCCTTCCCCTTCACTTGGGGGAAGCTGATTAAAAGCATGAAGCAGGAGAGCAATGATTTATTTGTGATATTCAGGGGGAGCCACACAAAGGGTTTACTGGCTTCAGTAAACAGCCCAGTGTCTTAATCCATCTACCAACTGATAATAGAAACTACTGAAAAATAGGGGGAGGAGAAAAAAGGAAAATGTTCCTTGGCTGGAATGTTTGGAGTCAATGTTTGGGATCCCCCCCAACCCCTTCCCAATAAACCACTGATAAAAAGTAACGAGAAATAAGAAAGGGGGAGAAGAAAGGAAAAAAGAATAGTTAATTCCAGAGAAACCAGTAGGAGATCCCAATTTAATTTGTTAGACTCCCCAAACACAATGGGCCCAATTCGCAGGCCTAGGAAAAAGGGTGTATTTTTAATCCCTGATAAACTAATCCATGTTGCAAATCTAGTAAAGACAAGGCAGTTGTACTTTTAACCCATATTAGCTGGTCAAGATAAACCCAACAGAACAATCTAGGGTTTACCTCAAATAATTAACAGAGGTTAAAACTACAACTACATTGTCTTCACTAGGACTGTAACATGGGTTAGTTAACACAGATTAAAAACACCTTGGCATTGTCTTCACTTCCGTTAAAGGTGTGTTTTTACTGCAGGATAACTAGCACACATTAGCTATCCTGCTGTAAAATCCTAGTGGAGACAAGGTACTGTAGTTTTTACCCTGAAGTAGCTAGACAAGGTCAATACTATATAGGGTGACCAGACAGCAAATGTGAAAAATCAGGACAGAGGGTAGGGGGTAATAGGAGCCTATATAAGAAAAAGACCCAAAATCAGGGCTGTCCCTATAAAATCGGTACATCTGGTCACCCTAATACTATACCCCAACCTATAGCTGAGCTCACCTATTTATCTTTTTTGCAATAAAGATATGACCCTTTCACTAGCGAAGACACATCTTCAGTTGGGCTGTAAAAGGCCCTTAAAGATGGCAGAAACAGCTCCCTGAGAACAAGGGTGCTGGAACAATTTGTATAGGGGAGGTGCTGAGAGCCATTGAACCAAACTGTAAACCCTCTATAAAATGGAAACCACTTCAAGCCAGCACCCCTAGTTCCATCATCTATGCCTGAGAATACCTCCTGCACAGTGGGCCTTCTTGACTAGCATAAAGCTGTCATTAGGGGATGTTAGGTCCTGGACCCCAGGGATAGGAGGCCCAGGGAGGGATTGGACTGTGAGCCCACCCTACACTCACCCTGCTGTGGCTCCTGTAGCATGATGTTGGCCCCGCTCCAGCCCCTTGGCTCTTGCCACAGCATGCAGATGGGGTCCTCCCCCTGTGATGTACCTTTCCTGGCCCTGGATTGGTTTTTTTTGTGAGGGCCTTGTGTTCCCCCACCCTCCCCGGTGGTTGGGGGCCCTGTGCAAGTGCACTGACACTTTCCATGTGCCTACTCTTAGCCTCCCCTCCCCAGTGCAGGGGGCAGAGTGTCTGACTGAAATACACCTTACTATGACTATTCTTGCTTCCCAGGGACCGTGGGAAACAAAGCATAAATTAGGTCCTTAAGGACTCCTGTCCACCACACAAACTCAGAACATTTCCTCAGACTCTCTCCCCAAACAGTACTCATCTTCCTGGCAGGAGAAGGGGTGTTTCAAAGAGCTGATGGAGCTGAATTCACAACCTTTTGAAGCAAAGGGGATGAAGAAGCATTTCCGGTCCACAAGCTCCCTCACTTAGCCAACCAGCTCACCCCTCTGTCCCAGCATGGTGGAAAAAAAGATCATTTTAGGATTTGGGGCCATTTTGAAGGTTGCAAACCAAAAAAGTTTGAGGATCAGTGGGGTAGAATATATAATGAGTTGGCTGGCAGAATTCTCAGAAACAAATCCCTGTCCGTGCTGGTCAGGACCCACAAGTGATTCATGTTTCACAATTATGCTTAATAGTTTTGACTGTAATGTGTGGATATTATTTATTTACTTCAGGGGTGAAAGTAACTTAAGGGACTTACGTAGGTGGGGTCCTGAGCAAGGTGGGAGGACAGCTGTGGGCCCCAAGAAGGGGGCGGGG